CCAGGTCCAGGCTGCGGTGGCCGGGAGCGGCCACTGCACTCCAGTCTGGGCGACAGAATGAGACTCCAACTCAAAAAAAAAAAAAATTCCATAATAAAAAAAGGTTTTAGGCTGGGTAAAGTGGCTCATGCCTGTAAGCCCAGCACTTAGGGAAGTGGAGGCAAACAGATTGCTTGAGCTCAGGAATTAGAGACCAGCTTGGGCAACATAGCAAGACCTCATCTCTATAAAAAAAAATAAATAAGTCCAACGTAGTGGCACACACCTATAGTCCCCGCTCCTCAAGAGGCTGAGGCGGAAGGATCACCTGAGCTCAGGATGTCGAGGCTGCAGGGAGCCACAATGGTGCCACTGCACTCCAGCTTAGGCAACAGAATAAGACACCAACTCAAAAAAAAATAAAAAGATTTTAAAAGATTGCCTCACCAAACACAATTTGAAGTTATTATCAAAATGATATACGATATATATATATAATAGCATAGTCAAAAGCAAATATTAAAAATTATAAAGGAAAAAAAACTAAAGAGGACGGTTATGGCACCTCAGTATTTTAAATTATTTCTCCAAGTTACCAAGGTAACAAGATAAATAAAATCCTTATTGTCAGTTCTTTTTCAAAAGAAGGCATAGCTGAATTTTTTAGGAAACACTTCTTTTTTTTCTAGATATTAAATCCTAAATAACTTGCTATGCAGAACTCTCTATGACAAAATCTGAGTAAAATAATCCCTGTCTTCCCTGATAATTTTTCAAAAGATACCAAAGTATGTGGCCTAAACTTTAGTCTGTACTCTCTCTTAATTGTGGGCAAGTCAGTAACCTCTTCATGCCTTGGTTTCCTTATAGGTAAAAGTAGGGTAAATAATATCTGCCCAACTTCATGTGGTATATAAGAATTACATAGAACTTACATTAATGAATTAATCAAATATAAAAATACTCTAATATTAATATAGGAAACACTCACAGTACTACCTATATATCCGGCACTGTTTTAAGTAATTTACTTGTTTTTTAATCTCATATAATTTTCACATCATCCTATGAAGTAGATAGTATTATCTCCATTCTGCAGATGACAAAACTAAGGTGCAGAGCAATTGAATAACTTGCTCACGGTCACCGGCTAGCAATAGGGGTGTCAGGCTTTGAATCTAGTCAGTCTGGCTTTATAGACTCATAACCATATACTCTGTTGCTTCTCTCTGAAACTGCAAAGGTTTCACTGTGTGGCACGGTGTAGAAAGAATAAATGGCACAGGTCTCAGCACTATAGAGATGTGTCACCAGAGCAAGTCCAGCCAGTTGTTGAGAGGCTCACCAAGGTGTCATCTACTTCAGAGATTTCCTCAGTCTTGTCCCCTCAGCCCAGCAAACTCAGAAATGCAATTCTGTCAGCAGGCTGAGACTAGCTCAGGGGCAGATCTCATCTACTGGGCGAAGAGACTGATATGTAAACGTAAGAACCCATTTTTAAATGAACAGAAATACAAAGTCACACAGTAAGAGAATACTTGGGCTGGCAAACAAATGTACTCCCTCTGTAGGCAAGTACTTGGGAAGCCAAGTAATGGCGGAAGGTTGCTTAGTAGATGTGGAATTCAGGGAGCTACTGGCTAATCTTTAACCTGCCGCGGGACCCCAGTGCTGAAGTTTCTGCTATAAAATGATATATGTGCTTCTTTTTTAGGTACCTCATTTTTTTCAGAATAATCCAATAAAAATTAACAGTGGATATATTGAGGTAGGGGAGAGGCTTAAGATAAAGATTCAAAACCTGTGTAACATTTTAACACTAACAAAAACAATCATTGGTACCCAAGGAGTCAACTTGGATGGTCTAGACAGGCAGCTTACTGTGGCTTGAAGCTGTCTCAGGGGATAGTAAAATGCAAAAAAGCAACTGTGTAATTGTAGATGCTGAGACTTGAGCTCTGAGCTGGCGGGGCTGCCATTAAGTTGGGCACAGGAGAAAATGCAAGCTGCCACAGGGTGAAGAGCTGTGCCAGGCTGGTGTTGTGCCTCTCTGGGGAGGGAACATAGGACGCGGGCTCAAAAGGATCCTGCCTATACAGCAGCCAAGCTGAAGCCTTTTTCTCTTTCCTGCTAACAGTTTTAATTCTCTTCCCACCACTCTGGCCTCTTTTGACTGGGAAACATCATGAACCAACACAACTCTCATGTTATACTGACATCATTCTCCTATTTACCAATCTTATGTGAGCTAATTGGTATTATAGAAATTTCTGCTGTAGCAGAGCAGTACATATTAGGAGTCAGTGAAGTAGGAAATGCCCTTTCTTAAGAAGATTGCTTTGCATATATCAGTGGTTCTCAACCAGGGGTAATTTTGCTCATCCCTCCATCCCCACCCCAGTTATCAGATGTCAACGATTTTAGTTGCCACACCTGGAATGGGAGGTGCTACTGGCATCTAGAGGCCAGAAAATGCTGCAGAGCATCTACAGTGCACAGGACAGCCTCCTACAACAATTATCTTGCCCAGGTGTCAACCATGCTGAAGTTGAGAAACTTTGGCTTAGATGGATGCTACACTTTTGGCTCTGTGGGTTCTCTTTTCCAAGCAAGCAAGTCCCCAGTTGTCACAGCCATATTTTAAGAGGATGCAATTCAATGCTGCTTAATTTATAATCCTGATTTTGTAGTCCCTCCCTGAGTACATGCAGATGGTTTCGACTGGAGATTTAGCAACAACCAAACTCTTTGTCACTCATTTACAGACAATGTTTTGGTTTGCTCCATGGAGAGTCAGTCACACGTATTCAGTAAAGATTTTACTAATAGAAAGCCTAAGCCAGGCTCGGTGGCTCAGCTTGTAATCCCACGCCTTTGGGAGGCTGAGGTGAGTGGATTGCCTGAGTCTGCGGGTTCGAGACCCGCCTGGGCAGCGAGACCTCATCTCTACAATAAATCAAAAAATCAGCCGGACGTGGTAGCGCATGCCTGTAATTCCGGCTACTTGGAAGGCTGAGGCGAAAGGATCGTTGGAGCCCAGCAGGTCGAGGCTGCGGTGGCTGGGAGCGGCCACTGCACTCCAGTCTGGGCGACAGAGTGAGACTCCAACTCAAAAAAAAAAGAAAGCCTAGAGAACAATCTTGGAGGCTTCCTCCGTGATGTTTCCACTCCCAACAATAAGATGCTTCTATGTTTATATTATCATAGTAGCTAAATGCCAGGCTTCTCTGCATTATATTTGGTTGCTTGATGTGTTCATTAAAGGAGATGAGGGGAAAAAATTGTTCCCACCTCTTTACTAGCTGTGTGACTTTAGGCAAGAGATTTAATCCTTTGGAGACTTAGTTTTCCTTCTTGGTAAAATAGGAATAACAGCGCCTGATTTACAGAACTGTTAGCAAGAGTAAGCACAGTATATGTAAACGTGCACAGTACTCCCTGGCACATGACATACACTCAGCAAATGTTAGTTCCTTTTCCCTTGTGAGGATACCATACCCAAATAGCCATTGTGAAGTTTCCTTTTCTTGTGCTTCGGCTTTTCTTTTTCTGAGTTGTTCTCTGTTTCGTAAATTCCGTGTTCCAATGAATTCTGTAAGATCGAAATGAAAGTTATAAGAAAAAGTGATGAGCTGTGGCATTTATTAACAAAAGAATCCTATCGCCAAGTGGCAGAATTCCTATGCTAGGTTTCTCTCCTAGCTTTTTGAGGACAAAAAAAGACTTTACCTCACTTATCCTTGTATCTCCAGAGAGAGCCTGAGAGCAGACATCCAGTAAGCAATTTTTTTTCCTGAGAAAATTAAATTCTCATTTTATTTGTTTGTTTGTTTTTGAGTTGGAGTCTCACTTTGTCACCCAGCCTGGAGTGCAGTGGCACCCTGAACTCCAGTGATCCATCTGCTGGACTTCAGTGATCCTTCCGCTTAATCTTCCAGGTGACTGGAACTACAGGCACACGCTACCATGCCTGGCTAATTTTTTTGATTTATTGAAGAGACGAGTTTCTCATCAAATTATCCAGGCTGGTCTCGAACCCGTGGGCTCAGAGGCGCCTCGGCCTCCCAAAGTGCTGGGATTACAGGCTGAGCCACTGAGTCTGGCCCAGTTCTCATTTTAATAGGTAATGAACCATGTATAACTTTGTCAAAACAATTTAAAATGTTTTCTTCATTTTGTTTGAGGTCACCACTATATTCCATTTCAAGTAAATTGAGGTATAACTTTGTGTTCTCCTGTGTAAAAAGCAGTATCAATTAATATTTCTAAAATATTTGGATTAGAGCACAGATATTTAAAATGCCTTAGTTTTTATGTCTCAATTTGAAAAATTAATTTTTGAATATTGTGTTACATTAAAATACAACTCATGTTAAATGTTTTCAGCATACAGTTACATGGTTAAAAAATTCATTAGCACGCTGATAGGTAATGACATCATCCTAGTATCTGCCAAACAATGCAAATTGTTAAATGCCAATAAACTAAAACTCTACATCCTTAGGTTTAATATGACTTGACCTACCATGACAATTAAAAAATAAAATGTAAAAAATTATCTCTATGGTCCAAGTCATTTAAATCTTTACTACAACTGTAGATATACATTTTAAACTGCAGCAGGAAACAAACTGTTATAAACCTGTGTCTTAAACAGGCCTGGCAATAATTAAAATCCTAAAAAATGAGAAGTTTCCTTTACATTGCCTCCTATCAATTGATATATAAAAAGAAATATGCTGGAAAAGGAAACATCATCTCACTGCTACATATGCTTATATAATGCAGGCAACAGCTATGCTTTTGTTTATAAAGGGTTTTCCGAGGCCCTGTGAACATTTTTGAATGAAAAAGTTAAAGACCTATTCAGAAACAGTATTGGTGTATGTAAGAAACAGTATTAGTATATGTGTGCTCCCAACCTCTTAGTTTCTTGTTTTTTGTTTTTGTTTTTGTTTGAGTTGGAGTCTCACTCTGTTGTCCAGGCTTAAGTGCAGTGGCAAGCTCTTGGCCACCACAACCTCCACCTGCGGGGCTCAGGTGATCCCTCTGCTTCAGCCTTCCAAGTAGCTGGAACTACAGGCATGTGCCACCATGCCTGGCTAATTTTTTTATTTATTGTAGAGATGAGGTCTTGCCATGTTTCCCAGGCTGGTCTTGAACTCGCGGGCTTAGGCAATCCTCTCACCTCCATCTCCCAAAGTGCTGGGATTACAGGTGTGAGCCACCATGCTCAGCCTTAATTTCTTAAACTTTATTTGTCTTTTTTTCCCCAGTACCTGATATGTAGTAATTAGTCAATACATAGTCACATTTTAATTTTAGTTTCTTAAAATTTCTTATAGATCATACAAATAATGAAAAAACAGCTATATTCTTCCATCTTTAACATGATAACTTATTTTCATATTATTCTTCATTTCCATCCAGTTCCTATATTACACAAAGTTGTGATCACAGCATACCACAATTTTATCTTATTAAACTAACATTGTATCAGAACTATTTTCTATGATATAGCCTTCATAATTATACTTTTAATGACAATATGATACTTAATCTAGTTGATATATTCTCCTTTACCAAGTCATTCCACTTATTTTGAGCATTTAGGTTATTAACTGTTATTTTATACCAACTTATATTAAGTACATTCATAAGCCTTCTTTTTGGATTTTGTTTCCTTGGGACAGTATTTCTTCAAGTTCTTTAGAAAATTAAGCGTATTATCAAAAAAGTTTTGGCTGCCATTCAAGTTTGAGAAAAGCTAATGGGTCTTTGATAGAATTTCTTAGAGCCAGTGGAGTGATACAAGTCTGCATTGGGATCTCCAAAAGATGGAGCATGCCCCGATGGCACCTCTGTTCTTTGGACAAGGGTTCTTGATGGGGAAAAAGTACCTTTATTTTTCCCAACCTCTAATTAAAACTGCCATTTTCTTAAATTATGAATATAGATAACAAGCCACAGTACTTTTAGCAATATGTGACTGTCAACAAAAAGAAATCACAGATTTTTAATATTTCATTACAGTTGTTGTAGATACCTTAAAATGCCACTTACTGGATATGATTTATTTGATTTGATACTATGATTGTTAGATATATCACTGAATCTTATTATTTAATGCATCTATAAATAAGCACATCTAGTGATAACAGTTTTTAATTTTGATAATTGTATCTTAATATAATTGTCTCCTTTATAATCCTACATATTTAATTTTATGTACTTAACATTTTTATTCTCAGGGATCTATAGGATCATCAGAATACCATAGAAATCCATGGAACAAAAAGTTCAAAACATTGTCTTAGATTATCTCAAGGCCTAGAGTTCCACAAAATATTTTGAGAAATACTGCTTTAGGACAGATCCAGAGACTGTAAGATTAGCAAGTCAAAATAATAAACCGTATTATAGTCTTTGCCATCTGTTGCCAGATCTATTTTCAAAAGTTACACCAAATTTGTACTACCAGAGAAGTATATAGGTCTAATTGTTTTACCACAGCTATTCAGTATTGGATATTTTCATTATCTTTCACTTAACTATATTTCTTATGCGCAACTTATTTATTTTAACCTGTGTTTCTCTGGCTTATTTAAAATCTTAGCACGAAAAGGCACCTCAGGAAGTTATACAGTCCCAGTTCTTCCCACCTAAAGTTATAGGAATGTACTCAGTTATGCCCTTGTTCTTTTTTTTTGGGAGGGTCAGATCCATAAAAAGGAAAATTATAATAGCCCACTTCTTCCCAACAGCCACCACCTCTTAAAGTCTTTTCATTACCTGGAGCATGGTTCTCTTCTTGAAGAGGGTCAGGTGTCTGATGGCGTTTCAAATGAGATTGGTCTTTTTCCAAATTCATCTTGCTGCAATGCCGTCCTGCTATTTTAGTCTGACTTCCACAAGCAGCCTAAATGCTTTTTTAAAATATCAAAAACAACTAACATTTAAAAAAAACACACACACACACACCACACACACAAGTTTGCCTGTCACTTGACTTCCCGCCTAAAAGTTTTATCTAGTTAGGCCACAACTGCAGGCTAATTCTACTTTCTTTATCACACTGCACAGGTGTGAGTAGGGGAAATGGCTGGTGCTAGCAAACTCTAGCATAGGTTGCTATTTATGCAGGGAACCCCTCTAGCCACAGCCTGGCATGCCACAGCCTCCAGTGCAGCAGCCATTTGGTTCTGTCTGCCAGGAAATGTCTGGATCTGACATTCCTTTTTACAAATGGAGGTGGCCTAGTGTATGTAGAAAGAGCACTGGGTCTAGACTCCAACCAGCTCAGTGGCCTAGGGCAAGTCACTACCTTTTTTTGTAACTTTCTTTCCTCGTTTGCAAAATGGGTAAATAATTCCTGTCTTGCTTACTTTCATACAAGTGAAGTGAAAATAATGGATGTGAAAATTAGAAAGTGTGTTATATATATGTGAAATTAATCTTACATTATTTTCCTGTGTGACTTTTTTTCACCTCTGTTGCAAAATAATATCAAGTCTTGCTGTGTATGCTGTTAAATTTAGATAATAAACATACATAAAGAACCAAATAAAAAAATTCAAAGAAAAACGTATACTCTGTTTTGCTCACTCAGTCATTCACAAGTGACTCAAGATAAGTAGTGAAATTAATTGTTACTAGAGGGAAGTTTAAAAGCATTCCTTAATGAAAATATCCCCCCATTATGTCCCAGAAACTAAGTTGAAATCAAAGGAACCATCCTATACCTCCAATCAGTCACCTTATTTGTGAGGCACAGAGAACCACAGTTCCACTAAGGAAGAAACACTGAGCACCTCCTGACAGACAGCCAGTCTAGGAGACATAGACTAACATGTGTTCTGGAGTCAGATTGAATAGAGAGTTTGAATTCCAGTATTGCCATTCTCTACTTCAGTGACCATGGGCAGGTTAAATAAGCCTGGAGCCAGTTTACCTATCGTAACATAGAAAGAATATTGGTATCTGCCTCTAAGGTTACGGGATGATTAAGTCCAATAACCCATATAAGGCATTTTATATGTGCCTAGCATATTGAACTTGCTTAATAAATGTCAGCTGCATTTATAACTAATAAAAATATAGTAACCATACTGGGCACAGTGGCTCACACCTGTAATCCCAGCACTTTGGGAAGCCAAGGTGGGAATATCACTTGAGCCCAGAAGATTGAGACCAACCAACATAATAAGACCTCATCTCTACAAAAATTTAAAAATTAACTGGGTGTGGTGGCACACACTGTAGTCCCAGTTACTCAGGAGATTGAGGTGGGAGGATCGCTTTGAGCCCAGGAGTTCAAGGCTGCAGGGAGCTATGACCATGCCACCGCATTTCAGCTTGGGCAATAGAACAAGACCCTGCCTCTAAAATAATTAATTATATTAACTAGGTTTTGGTAAACCAAGTCAAAGTTTAAATGCACTAAAGAAACAAAATCTGAAGGGACTTCTTTATAGAGACCTTTATAATGTGAATAGATGCCCCATACTTACATAGTGTCTTAAGGCATTAGACCTGGAAGAGCCCAAACTATCTAGTCCTTCCCCCTGTTTTGTATATGGAGAAACTGAGAACCAAGGAAGGGTAGGATTTTTGCATTCAGTATATTCTTGCTGTCAGCAGCACTTCTTACAGATTATAAGATGGGTCTTTTTTTAATGCATGGTTTTGCCTGGGTATGAAAATGTGTGTATCATGTGACTGTATGGGAGATATATGTTTTCAAACACACTGAGAAATGTTGAGAATGATATAACAAATACCCAAATACCTACCCACTAAAATTTAACTTGATTTTTTTTTTTTTTTTTTTTTTTGAGTTGGAGTCTCACTCAGTCGCCCAGACTAGAGTGCAGTGGCCGCTCCTGGCCACCACAGCCTCGACCTACTGGGCTTCGGCTATCCTTCCGCCTCAGCCTTCCAAGTAGCTGGAACTACAGGCGTGTGCTACCACGCCCGGCTAAGTTTTTGATTTATTGTAGAGATGAGGGCTCGCCAAGTTGCCCAGGCGGGTCTCGAACCCGCGGGCTCAGGCAATTCACTCACCTCGGCCTCCCAAAGCGCTGGCATTACAGGCTGAGCCACTGAGCCCGGCCTAACTTGATTTTTAATTATCAGATCCTAATGCTCAGTTTTACCTTTCTCAGTTCCTCAGTCTTTCTTTCCCTTAAGTAAATCTCTGTATCTAAAATTTCAGATAACCTCGGGAGCTCCTATTCAAAGGAATCCTGTTGGGAATGGCAGGCATTCTTTGTCATTTATCTCTTGAAATTTTTGAATTTTCAGATAAGGGCTTTAAAGCACTCAAAGTAACAGAAAATTATAAAATAGTAGTGTTTTATAATTTAAACTGGCATTTTAAATATTGGTCCCATTATTTGAGAGGTTTCTATTCTTACTAGTTAGGTTGTTTCTCACATTATGATAGTTTAATAAAATAGTCAAATAGAATCCCTCTGGGATACCTTTAGAGAATGCAGAAGGACTTCATAGATAGGATTGCCCTTACTTAGAGCTTAGAACACCCAGTTCAACGATTCAGAAAATTTTGATGAATACCCATGGCGTACCACATATTGAGAAAGGCCATCAGGCTGTAGAGTCCCTGAGCTCTGTGAACTGTAGGCTCATAGAGAGCATATGGATCTTTATATATTTTTTTTTTTTAATTTTTTTTAGATTCTTCATATACTGTTACAACCTTCCTAAGTCGATTTCACCCCTGTCACATATTCCCTGTAATCTAGAAGCAGAGTGTGGCGGGACTATAGGAGGGTGGGATCTCAAGTTAACAGTACATTGAGGGTACCATTGGGTGGAGGGATCCAGTGAAGACACTTGGAGCAAATTAGATTGGAAGTCAGGCAAGGTGTCTCTGGTGTGATAAACAGGTCAGGGCGGGAATCTGAGACAGAAATAGCCATACCATAAGTTTACAAGCCATAGTTCATGGTCTCTTCTCTCTGTAGAAAACTCTAGAGTTCCCAGAATGTGTATGTAGTGCTAGGCATTAAAGACCATATATTTTTAACAAATGTGGCCTTATTCTAGAGTTATTTGCATATACACACAAAAGCTCCCTCTAGGCCACACACCCTCAGAGGACAGTTACGGCGGCTGACTTACTTTTCTGTCTTCTCAGTGTGATCCAGTGGGAGTCTTGGCCTACGGTAGTCCCATAACTGCCCTCACTCCCTGCTTCATAGACATGCAGCCTGGGAAAGCACTTTACATACTCAGAGGGCTTGATGCTGCTGTGACTTAATAATAGCAATGTCATCATCTGTGCCAGAGCTCTATGTGCTGTTGTCTCTTCTGTCTGTGCTCAGCATTGTCCTATGTGCTGGGGATAGGGTAGTAAAAAGGCAAAGTTCCTACTTTTACAAAGCCTAATGGGGAGCGCTAAACAATGAGCAAATAAATAAAATGTTTACTGTATCAGATGATAAGTGCTTTAGAGAAAACTGGACCAGGAATAGTAGAATGAGAAGTGAAGGGGAGGTTGCTGCTGGCTGCTGTTTTAAATAGTGTGATCAAGAAAGGCTTGACTAGGAGGGTGACAGGTGACCAGGATGGAAAGAGGTGAGGAGCCAGTTATCCCATGCTGATATCTGGAAGAGCATGCCAGACAGAGAGCCCCAGCAAATGACCTGAGGAGAGGGAGTGGTGAGGAGGTGGGATCAGAGAAGAAGCTTGCTACCCCTTGTAGGATTTCTACTCCGAGTGAGATGGACAGTCATGGGATGGTTTTGAACAGAGGAGTGATGCCATCTGACATATACTTAAAGAATTATTCTGAGTCGGGCATGGTGGTTTATGCCTGTAATCCCAGCACTTTGGAAAGCCGAGACCAAGGCAGGAGGATCACTTGAGACCAGAAGTTTGATACCAACTGGGCAACATAGCAAGGCTCTGTCTTACAAAATATATTTTTTAAATTTTTTAAAAAATTATTCTGGCTACTATATGGGATATGGGGAGGAGGTGAAAGCAAGAAGTACAATCAGAAGAATATCCAGGTGAGAGATGATTAAGGCTTACGTGAAGTGGTTGTCAGATTCTGGATTAATTTACAAATTGGATATGGGGTGAGACATGAATAATCAAAGATAAAGGTTTGGTACAAGCAGCTGGAAGGATGGAGTTAGCATTAACAGATGAGGAAGACTGGGAAGAGTAGGCTTAGAGGAGACGATCAGAAGTTTAGTTTGGTATGTTTTTACAGATTTGGGAGAAAACATCAAAGGAGCAGCCAGTAAGACAAAAGAGCATCATGTCCTGAAAGTCAAGGGGAAAAGATGTTTCAAGGAGGGGGAGGCCTGTCAGCTGTGTCAAATTTTGCTGAAGGTGAAATAGAAGGAGGATTGAGAATTGACTTAACAATTGCTTTTCTAAAAATTCAATTAATTGTAGACTGTGGAGGTAAAGTGACTTGGCCAAGGGCATACAGGTAAAACCAGCTCTGTAGTTTTCTGGGGCCCAGGGCAAAATGAAAATGCAGAGCTCCTCTTTCAAAAATTATTAAGAATTACAAGATGGCTACAACAGAAAATTAAACCCTGCACAGGGCCCTACTTTCACAAATGTTTCACTAGATCCTTGCAGCATGCTTAACAAAGTAGCTATTGTTATCTTCACTTTTTCAGATCAAGAAACTGGTGCTCAGTGCATTGAGTGGCATAACTAAAGTCCCAGAGCTAGACAGGGAGTTTGCCCTGGAAGCTGGGCCTTCAGCCTTCAAGTTCGGCCCTCTTCCTACTAGAACAAACTAGGTATAGGGAGGGAGTTGCTTTTCTGTCTCTGAACCACCTGAAGCAGGTATAAGTGTTGAGGCCTTGTTCATGCGATTCAGAGACCTGTTTGAACCGGCAAATGTAGGAGGGAAGGAAACACATTGCTAAGAACTTCTGCCCCAGGTCTCTCTTTATGATGGCGGTGACAATGGGGAACAGGAAAAATGGATCAGGCCATGTAGTGGATCCTGTAAAAAACAAGACCTGATAAAAGTGTCCCAAAGCTAATATCATTTTAAGCTATGGCTGATAAAAATTACAGAGCCTCCAAAGTCAGGGAGATGAGATTCCTGCTACACTTTGGTTTGTCCTACCATAGCTAGTGTGTCATGCTGTGAAGACCAAGTGAGTGGTATTTGAAAGCAGGGGGTATAGGGCTCTACCATTTCCCGACTGGATTATTTGGGAAAAATCACTTTATTCTTTCTGATCCTCGGTTTCTTCCCTTGTAAAACAGAGAAAGATAATACCTCACCAGGATTCTGTGGGGACAAAAGAGATCATGAGCTTTATATACAATGAAAAACACTGTGCAGATATAAGCCCCCAAAGCTTGGACAGTGTTAATAGTATTATTAAAGTCTTCTAATGATGCACCTGGGAATTTTCCTAAAATACATTTGAGTGGAAAAGTCGAAGAAGGGAAGACATTGTACACTTGTTTTTCCTAACATTCCTTTCTTGCTGAAATACTTCTTTTTCTTCTGTTTGTGAAATACTTCTTCAAAGCTTCTGAATATCTTTCAAAGAATGGTTCATGCTTTGTGTCCCTAAATGGAGAGGGAGAGTCTTGTTCTCCTCTCTCAGTCTGTTGCTGTATGATAAATGAGTTTTGTCTGCTAAAACAGATGCCGCTGTACACATACAGATAACATGTTTATAACTCTAGAATGACTGTAGCCTGACTTTCAATCTAGTTTGTTCCAAAGTCCCTCCTCTGGTGTCCTCTCACCAATGTTGCCTTCTATTAAAGTATAGACAAATAAGTATTACTGAATAAACATCGGTGAGTGGTCATTTATCTGGGGAAAAACAATTCTACTCCCACCTTGAGCCACCATCATCTCCCGTCCTTTCATTCCTGGACTTCTTGAGCCAATAATGTATCCTCAGTACTGCCTTTATTCCCTCACACCACTTCATTGCTTTGCATCTGCAATTTAGTTTCTTCTTTCACCTATTATTATCTCATAAAATCATCAATGATTTCCTAATGGCCAAACCCAGTGGTCCCTTCCCAGCGCTTTCTTTTTGACCTCTCTACAGCTCATGATTCCTCTGAGCACGTCTATTCTCCTTGATACTCCGTCCTCGGCTTCTATGATGGCATGTTTCTCACCTATCTCTCCCTCCTCCTCATCCTTGCTCACAGACTTCTCTTTCACCCCCCTGGATGGAGGAGGATCTTTTCCAAGAGCCTCTGATCCTTTTGAGTTTATACTTGCACTCTAAGACAGTTGATCCAATTATATACTTTTAGCTACTACTACTTTTGGGGGGGCTTAAAACATTTATTATCTCATGGTTATGGAAGCTAGAGGTAAAAAATCAAGGAGTTTGTGGGGCCATACTCCATGAAACCTGTAGGGTGGACTCCTTTCAGCTACTACTGCTATACAGATATTTTCTAAATGAATATATCTGAATTCTAAGATCACACTTTCCAGTGTCTCTTGGTTATCATTCATTACCTGAATATACCACTGTACCTCAAACTTAGTATAACTAAAAGCAAAGTTATCTTCCCCTTAAACTAGGCTCCCTATGCCTTGTTTCTGTTAGAATAGTAGTACCATGATCCAGGCCATCCAGCTGAAAACCTTCAGAATTCTTTGACTCTGCCTCTTCCCTTGGTCTGTCACATCCAGCTGGATACAGTTCTGCCAGTTTGTTCTTCCCAATGTCCCACATGCAAATTCCCTCCTTTCTTTTTTCAATTTTTTTTTATTTTAAAGATGTGGGGTACAATTCAGAGCTAGATACATAAGTGGTCATCGTACAGGTAAGGTTTGGGTACCCTTATTGATGTTATGTGCCCCCCTACCCTGGCAGTGTCCCACTACTGCCAATCTCTTTCTTATAGTATTGATCCCTCTTTTTCTTTCCCATACCACCATCCCAGAGGGAGACCTCAACTTCTCATTGGAAAACTTCCTATGTGGCTTATCTGCTTCCATCTATCCTCACCCTCCCCAGTTCATCCTGCACAAACAGCCAAAACAATCCTCCTACAGCTGGCTCTGAACCAGTAACTGCCCTGGTTAGAGCCCTGAAATCCTCAGAATTGCCTGCAGAATAAAGACTAAAGTCTCAGTCTGGCATTTAAGGCCAACTTCGCAATGTTCTCTCCCATCACTTCCTGAAACTACCCAATGTTCCAATTAAGTAGTGCTACCTGCCCTCCCAGCTTTGCCTTAAATCTGTTTAACACCCACAGTAGTTTTCTGCATACCTTCTGGCTGGTCGGTGTTCTTCCCTACATCTGCCCATCCAGATAGTGAGGGGCCCCATCACAAAACCCTTGATGATGATGACGACAATGATATGCTGAGATGTTAGCCACTCTACAAACTCATAATGGGTAGCTGACACTTCATGTGCATATCTCAGTTTGTTCTTCCAACTAATATTATCCCCATTCCACTGATAAGGGAACTATGGCTTAGAGAGGTTAGATTACATTCCTAGGTCAAATAAATTCATAAGTGACAAAGTTAGGGCTCAAATCTTTAAACTCTGAAGTTCAAAGATTTAGCCATTCTGTTCTACTGCCTTTTCCTGCTTAGATGTGATCTCTCTTTTCGGTGCTATAATTGCACCTGATTTTAGCTTCTTTTGTGGTAAATATTGCATAATTTTTTCAAATTATTTTTCATTTATATATATATATATCTTTTCTACTATATTCATTCAGCTAACATTTATTGAGCATTTATTTCTTACCAACCCCTTTGCTAAGAATTGGAGACAGAAAAATCAAATGGGAGTCGTTTCCTTCAAGGAACTCACAGTGGAATCGAGGGTGATAGATAACAAATAAATCTGGATTTAGAATATAATACAATGTGATAATTTTTTAAAGTCAGGGCCTGTAACTTTGTTACCCAATCTGGAGTGCAGTGGCACAATCACGGCTCACCGCAACCTCTGCCTTTTAGGCTCAGGTGATCCTTCCACCCCAGCCTCCTCAGTAGTTGGGACTATAGGTACAAGCCACCACACCTGGCTAACTTTTTTTTGTAGAGATGAGGTCTTGCTATGTTGCCCAAGCTGGTCTTAAACTCCTGAACTCAAGCAATCCTCTCACCTCAGCCTCCCAAAATGCTGGGACTACAGGCATGAGCCACTATTAAAATTATCACATAGTTGGGTTTGCCCCAACTATGTGATAATTTTATAGTAAACCCAACTATGTGATAATTTTAATATCATTATTTCTAAATATTCTGAGCATAGAAATGGAGTGCTTAATGCTGCTACTGTGGGATTGGAAAGATAAGGATAATGCATTGTTCATCCTATAACTATAATTGTCTTTATTCCTACCTGCCTTGGAATGATCCTGGCATCAGACAACAAGTAGAGTCGGGAAAACGAAAATGCTTTATATGCATATAGTTGTGTTACATTCACTTTTATTATCTCACAGAAATAATAATAGCCAATATTTATTCAGTACTTGCTTATCACATCCCAGGCACTGTTCTAGGCACTTTACAAATGATAACTCCTTTGGTCTTTACAACATCCTTTAAGGTAGGTGCTGTTGATGTCTTTATTTTATAGAAGAAACCACTGAAGCACAGGTTTTTGACCCATGCCCTGGGCCACACCCCTCATAAGCAGCAAAGCTGGGTGAGTTGATTCTAGAGGCCCTATGGCTTAACCACCTTTCTCTCCTATCTCTCAATTCTACTTTAATTCTACTTCTATTTAATAAGGTAGCAATAGGGGGTGTGTGTGGTATGTGTGTGTGTTTACAATTCTCTCCTACTCCTTCCTTCCTTTCTCCGTGTCCTTTACTCTCTCCCTCTTTTTGCAGTCATTTGTTGACTACCTACTCTGCAAGGTGGTGCCAGGGATACAAAGGCAAATGTAACAACCACAAAAGACAGACATAGAAAATTAAAGGAACACAGGAGAGACATCTAAATAAGATGGAGGGATGGGGTCCAAGAAGCCTCCTGGAAGAGATTATCTGGTTTATATTCAGAAAGAACAGAAGGTAAGGAGTCTGTAGGAAAACTGACAGCGGTGCCTTATGGAAAGCATCCAGTACAGTGCCTGCCACGAAGCAGACCTTAATGCGCTGTCTGTTATGATGATTGTTTATAATCTCAATAATAATAAGTGAAATGGAAACACCAAATAATAAAGCTAGGCAGAGCGTTAGAGTTATTTTACAGATTAGGAAGTGGAGGCCCAGAGAGAAACCTGTGTCACACGGGCTTAGTGGTAGTTAGAACTAGAATCCAGATCCTCTAACAGTTCTGTTTTCCCTTCACCTGTCTGACATTCCAAACTCATTTGTCTACAAGTCAACCCACCTCATCTTCTGGCTTAATAAAGTAGTTCCCAAACTTTCCCATTGTTTATACTCATCTTCATGATTTTTACCAGGTTCTTATATTAGTGTTCGCCGTGCTATTATTATTTTTCTTCAAGTAGGCTTTTACATTTTTGTTTGATCTTTTACTTTAAAAGACTCTGTCTCCCAGACTGGAGTGCAGTGGCACAATCATAGCTCACTGCAGCCTCAACTTCCTAGGCTCTAGCAATCCTCCCGCCTCATCCCCCAAAGTAGCTGGGACTACAGGTGCCCACTACCACATCTGGCTAATTTTTTTTATTTTTTGTAGAGATCGGGTCTTGTTTGTTGCCCAGTCTAACCTCAAACTCCTGGCCTCAAGCAATCCTCCTATCTCAACTTCCCAAAGTGCTGAGACTACATTTGGTTGAGTCACTGTGCCCAGCCAAAAGAACTCATTTTTACTAAAAGTTTTGAAAATGAAAATTTTATATCACTGTTGTAAATGGAAAACCAAAAATATCACCTGTGAAATCACAGGTTTGTGGTATAATAAATTTATTCCAAGACATATTGAAATAAATACTGAACTATTAAAAATGATTCATCTAAAAGTATCTACATTGCACTGAGTGGTATGCATACTCCATCTTAAGAAATGTTGGCCTATGGAATGACTCAGTTAATTTTTTTTCTTTCACAGAACTTCTCTATCATGTCCAAATCTATCCTAAAACCAAACTGCCCTTTGCAGTGGCTACTTTATATTCAGAAGGGATGGAGCATAAGACCCAACTTAACTCTATGACCTGTTACTGGCCCACTGTTATATGTATCAACTTCTCCTCCTGGGGTCTCTTAGTTGAATACTTACCACTGTTATTTTAGCTAAGTTCTTCACCCTTTGAAGTTTTAGCTTCCCTGGTATAGAACATGTACTAGAACCTAACATAATGTAGCCTTATTTGTTTGGAAAATTTGATGCCCTGTTTCCAGCAGATTCTATCCCCTGGACTTGAAGTTTTGAGTTGGAAAAACCTAGATCGGTCCCTGCCCGAAAGGGACCGCTGCTGGCAAAGTGCGAGCTTCCAAATGGGGTTCTGTTCCCGGGGCCTGCCAGAGGGCCCGGTACATGGTATACAATTAGTAGTCGATGCCTGAACCAACTGAGGTGGTACAGGTACCTCTGGCTAGAACTGCTGCCACTAGGTGGACATAAATGGCAATTGCACCGTTCTGACCTGTCAACTAGGTCAACCAGCACTGGCTCCAGCATTTTCCCTTGGAGGCAGCCTGCCTGGCTCCCTAATTCTCTGCCACCGGCTGTTCCCCCTCCCTCCAAGTCTTCCTCTGGATAAGTTAGCACTGGGGATGTTTGCATACCAGACACTCAGCTAATTGATATTCTGTCACAATCTGCTAAACAAATGTTAGGCTTTTTTGTGTGTTGTTATTATTTAGTGACACTTTTAGCCAGGTTATATTTTTAGCCTGGTTGGGGAAGAAAAAGAAGAAATTATTAAATACTTTAGCAGACAGGAAATGTATTGCCAGGTCTTTCTCACCTGGCATCCTCCTAAGCATCTGTACCTTTAACAGACGGAGTTCAGGATCTGATCGGATCTGATTTTATCGGCATATCCTGGGCAAATTCAGCGTGAGGATGAAGAACCCCTTTGTGCTTCTTTATGTTCTGTATTGTCAGCCTTCTCTATCAGTGCTCTCGTCTCATTCTAAAGAGGCCAGCCTTGTTCGGCCATGGTAGACACCTGTGTGGAAGTCACATAGCAAAACCTGATGCTCTCCTGAAAGAAGGTGGCATACCTAGCCCAGAACTTCATGATAAGGGTGCCCCTTCAGCAAGAAGCATATCTCATTCTTATGTTTAAGTGTCAGAATGTGGCAATCAAGAGAGAAATTAAACCTAGACAGAATAAACATCCTCAAAGACTGCTGGCAATACCCCTCATTCCATCTGAAGGGCTTTGGGTTTCTTGATGAAAACAAAAATAGGATCTCACTGAAATTGGAGACTACATTTCACTTCTCAGGAAACACAAATTAATAGGAGCAGTTATCACCCTGAAAGTGTGTGGCGCAGTAGATAGAGCCTGGACTTTTGAACCAGATTAGTGGAGTATCTATTTCTAGCAAGTTGCTCTTAACTTCTGTTTTTACTCAGTTCATATAGATGCACAATACTTTGTTCTCATGCAAAGAGGCTGGGGAGAATCCTTTCAGACAGAACTTAAATAACTTGTCCATCTGACAAGGCAGACTATCCTTTCTAGAAAATCATGCACCTACACTGACTTATCAAAAACTCCCTTTCCATCTTCCACTACCAAAAATGGCACCCAAATGGATTTGGTCATCTCTCTGAGAAGAAATGAATAGAGTGAACCTTTACTAATCCAGTTGGTTTAATTCCCCTTTAATGGGAATTAAATTAAGGTCTCAATAGTGCATGATGACAGTTCTGGTTTCTAGTTCTATATAGAAATTACTCCTCTGCTTTAAGCCCTGGTTATCTCTGATAGAGAAAATGAACAATTGATCAAGTAATAGGATCGCCATGTTGTAGGAAGCAGAAGGAATGGAAAGAATAGACTGATAAGTAGGTGATAGAATAGGTAAATAATGGGCTTGAGACTCTTTGATAAGCCAGAGAGGAATACTGGGCTGGGTAGAAGAGCTATTTGTTTTGAAAATTATTGAGGGGGCACACCTGATCAACAAGGGTACTTGCATAATGAACATTTGTATACCCAACCCTGAATTGTACCCCACATCTGTAAAATAAAAAATGTAAAAGCTAAAAAACAATAAAATAAAATTACTTGAAAGTTGATCATTTCTTGAGTTACATGAACCTGGGACACAGTAAACACTCAATTTCATAGAATCTTCTCGCTGGAAGAAATCTTTAATGTCATCTAGTCAAATTTCCCAAGAGAAAGGCCTCTACAGACTCAATTTACTAGAAAATGTTTGATTTTAAGCATTTTACTAACAA